CCGAATCCAAACCCTCTCGCTCGTTCGCCGCCACCAATCTAATCCATACATGCTCCATTCGGTTCTCAGTAATCCTAACCTGGTTTTGTCGCGCAGGAATTCGGCGGCCGTGGCGGCGATGGACATCTACAACGTGGAGGCCGCCGAGATCCTCGCCCACGAGACCCTCGTGAGCTCACTCACCACCCCCGCATCCCCTGTTTCGAGATGATTTGAGCTGACGAGTGAAATTGCTGAGGTTTTGTGCCCATTCCTTGCTGCAGAATCTCCCCATCGGCGAGGCCGCCCCCATCTACGAGAAGCTGCTCGCCACCTTCCCGACAGCGGTGAGCCAGTTGAATTTTCCATCAAATGCCTGTTTGGTTGGGTTACCTGCTCTGCCGATTTTCTCGGTTCATGTTGCCAATCTTCTGGGGCTGAGGCTTGAATGTGCATGCAGGCTAAGTACTGGAAGCAGTATGTGGAGTCATACATTGTCACGAACGATGAAGAGACCGCCAAGCAGATATTCAGCAGATGCCTGCTCACCTGCCCTCATATTAATCTCTGGTGAGGGGATTCCACATTTTTTGATGATCTATGGCCACGTGCCCTAGTTTGTGTTTTGGGGTAGATGAGAAATTCTCCTTCACTGTCACTGCACAAATGATTAGTCACTGTTTCTACCAACACGTTCCTCCATTGACGCCCGCGTGTGGTGTCAGTTTTCTTTCATTTCGCCTGATCTTGTTACCAGTCAACAGTGCCCTGCTTGTCTGATCAAATTGCTTTTAACTTGTGATCACCTCATTGTTTTGTAAATAATACATAATTGATGTGTCTGAATCTTATATTGCTCTTAGTTATGGCTGTCATATTCTTTTCAACATAAATTTTCCAGTTTGTTTGTAACTGCAGTATTGACATTTTCCTATCGGGTTGGGTGTAACTTGCAGGCGTTGTTACATCAACTTTGTTAAAAAAGTAAACAGCAAAAGGGGCTCTGAGGGTCTGGAAGAGACAAAAAAGGCTTTTGATTTCATGCTTAACTATGTCGGTAAGTACCAAGTACTTCTATGAAGTGTTGACCGTAGATAATAAGCAGTGCGTTGTTATTAAGCTACTTTTGCAATAAAATTTTGATCTCCGGTTCGCTTTTTATTGTAAAATGAGGGCTTTTCATTTTCTTATGGAAGCCCCCAATCAACATGGGGAGCTTGCGGTACACGTGGGTCATTTGGCCACCCCTCCTGCTCTTCGGCTTCATAGCTTTCTTCTCTTCACGCATCTTCATACATGAATCTAAGAAGCTTAATTGTGACAGGCAATGATGTGGCATCTGGCCCCGTTTGGATGGAGTACATTGCATTCTTGAAGTCAATGCCGGTTTGTGTTTCTTCATTTTCCTGTCCTAACATTATTATGCCCTTTTACTTATGTTTGAGTTATTTCATTTGTGATTCCTTGTTTGAAACTCTTCAGGTTATGACGCCCCAGGAAGAGTCACACCGCATGACTACTATACGTAAAGTATATCAGAAGGCAATTTTAGTTCCAACTAGTCATGTCGAGCAGCTATGGAAGGATTATGATAACTTCGAAAATTCAGTTAGCCGCACCTTGGTAAGTAGATTTTCCGTTTGGATCACTAATCATTATGAAAAAAGCCGCCAGCATATAACTCCATTCATTAATTGGCAAAAAGACCAGTCTTTAGTCCTTTAGTAGTGTGAAGTTGTTCGTTTTCAGTTCATTCTGGTATGTCAGTAGTGTTCACTGCACTCGACCGTTTAATACGGTTACTATTTTATTTTATTAAATCTCAAGACAATGCAAACCTATCTTGTGTGCATTTCATATGGAGATCACTGTAACCTATCCATGTTCCAGGCAAAAGGCTTGCTATCTGAGTATCAACCGAAGTTTAACAGTGCTAAGGCTGTATATAGAGAGCGTAAGAAGTATATTGATGATATTGATTGGAGCATGCTGGCCACCCCCTCTACAGGCTCCTACAAGGTAAGCAGTTGATCAGGTCATAATGTTGATTTACACTAGGCGTGACAGTCTACAATTATTGACTTTACAAAACGGTTATGTTTTGTGGATAATTATTTTGGTAGCGTGGCTAGGAAAAATCGCATAATTATAATTTCCTTCAAAGTTTCTCTATCCATTTTCTCATTGCCATACATTTCTGCGCCACTCTTGTTTTCTTAGGGAAAACTGTATGGTAAAACAGTACTAGTGTCACTTTTGATTGCGAACATAACAATTTGAGTGTGTTCTAGAAAAGCTGGATAACAGAGTTTTATCTATTATTGTCAATATATTTTGTTAATTCCACTTTTCAAGATTACCTACCTGAAGTTCCAACACCCTTAACCAATGACCTTTTGTTTTTTGTAAATCTC